TGTGCCCCGTGCCCGCCTGCCTGGCCGCGGTGCCCGCAGCCGCGGGGGGCGCTGGGCACGCACCTTGCCGAGCGGTGTACTCGTTGTCCTCGATGAGGCGCGCCAAGCCGAAGTCGGCCACTTTGCACACCAGGTTCTCCCCCACGAGGATGTTGGCGGCCCGGAGGTCCCGGTGGACGTAGTTCATCCTCTCCACGTAGGCCATGCCGGATGCGATCTGTGGGGAGCAGCACACGGGGCACTGAGGCTGGTGGGGTGACACAAGGGTCCCCAGGGAACAGCTCTGCCACGGGATCCCACCCGGATGTGGGAACAGCAACGTGAATGGGCAAAATGATGGTCCCTGACTGCAACCCAGCTCTGGGCTGAGCACCTGGCAGGGACGGTGGCACCCACCCGAGTGAGGCTGCGGAGCACCCCAGCACCCAACAGGCGACAGCCATGACAGTCCAGCGAGGTGCTCGGGCAGCCAGCACCCTCGGAAGGGGCTGTGGGAGGCCTGGGGATGCACAAACCCACCTGAGCTGCCATATCCACGAGCTGGGGCAGCCGCAGGTACTTGCCCATCTCGCCCTTCAGGAAGTCCAGGAGGCTCCCTGCGAGGAAGACCACAGTCATGGCAATCCGGAGGAGCAGAGCCCCTCGGCCAACCCCCCAGCATCCCTCCCGCGCTCACCTTTGCTCATGTACTCAGTGACAATGTAAATGGGCTCCTCAGAAACTACAGCGTAAAGCTGAACCAGCTTCTCGTGCCGGAGCTTCTTCATGACCTGGGCTTCCTGCAGGAAGGCCTCCGGGGACATGGTGCCAGGCTTCAGTGTCTTGATCGCCACCCGGGTGGTGCCGTTCCAGGTCCCTGCGGCACAGGACACACTGCTCAGGACACATTTAGAGGGCCAGGGACCATGTCCCTTCCCTGCTTCCCCACCCCACTGCAGGCTCTAGGCACCTGCAGATGGATGGGGAGAAGATGCAGGTGGTGACATGGCAGGGACAGTGGGGTGGGAATGGTCCTTCCCCATCCACACCTCTCCGAAGCAGCCTTGTCCCAGCTTGACCTCTAGCCGCAGCGATTCCCGGGGGATTTCCCAGGCATCCTTGGCAAGGCCTTGGGTCTGGGGCTTGGACGTGGGGCAGACGTTGGTGAGACGGTGGCACAAGCCGTCGGCATGTTCTAGCACAGGAGGGGACAACACCAGGGTGACACTTGGGCATTTAGGCACATGATGTCTTTACCCCACATCTTTCCTGCAAACCACCTCGGGGACCTGTACCCAAACCCTCACCCTCTTCCCTAAAACCCAGGCAGCTTTTCACCACGTTCCCCCCCCCAACTGCTTTGGGGTCCCCCAGCGCCGCAGTGACTTCCCAACAGCACCCGTCCTGTAGCGAGGGCAGGCACAGCACCCAGGGTGTCACCCAGAGCCCAAGGGGACCCCAAGTGGCTACTCACTGGAGTAATAGGCCACCAGCTGCTGTAGGCTGTTGAACTGGGTGCGGGAGGTGATGTAGAAGCCGCCACTGTCCAGCTTGCGGATCTTGTAGTGCTTCACGTTGAGCCCCTTGGCGTTGTCGAAGTCAGAGACGGAGAGACAGTAGGCACCTGCGGGCAGGACCGGGGGGCTGGGGGGGAGATGCACCACAGACGGGTGCTCCCCATGGGGTCCCACCGGAGGGGGGGCGTGGGGGAGCAGGACTGGGCATGCAGGCTGCTGCTTTCACCCACAGGCAGAGGATGGGGAGCAGCTCCTGGCTGCCCAAGTTGGCACCTCCAGGATGGACTGTGCTCCCAGGGCTGGCACAGAGGAAGGGACCCCACTGGGTTTAGGGGGGCCCAGCAGGCAGGAGGACAAGCAGCTCCCCAGGGTGCAGGGATAAACCCAGCTCTGGTAGCAAAGGGGGGATGCTGAAGCAGGGGAGAGGACTGGACAGGAGGCAGGCTGAGGGGAGGTGCTGACCCACAACCCCGACATCTCAGCATCTCAGAGGGAAGCCAAGGGCATACTGGGTCCAACTCCCCGCTCCACAAATCCCACCATGGGCAACGCTTTGGGCGCCTGTCCCCGCTCTGCCCACACGAGAGCACTGCTGGGGCCACAAATAACAGAAAGGAAGATTTATGCCGCTGCTGGAATGAGCTGTTTCCACCAGAATACAATAAATAGTGGCAAGTTCAAGGCATCAAAACAGAAAGGAACATCAAGGAGCTTTTCCCAAAGGTGCATTCGGAGCCAAACTAAACCACATTTCCAGGTAAGAAACAGCATCCTAAGGCAGCCTAACCGCGAAGATCACAACTCGCACTTTCAGGAGGCACAAAACAAGTATAAAGAGTCGTTAGACTTGAAAGAAGGACCTAAAGATTCATCACTACCTCTGCCTCGTTGCCCAGGAAGCACACCAAGATTTTGCTACTACAGAGGGATGACAAAAAACCAAAACACACCTACTTGGGCGTGTTTTAAAAAAATATTTAAAAAAAAACAGGAAAAAAGAGCATCTTGGCTACTGGTCCTGTGGGAACGGGTGAGGCACCCGGCTCCCACCCTGCCATGAGCTGAACAATCTCTTTGAAGGGTGACCACCGGGCAGGCAGCACGGGAGAGAAGTGGCTGTGAACCTCCACGGCGAGGGAGGTTTGTTGGTGTAAGGGCACGTTCAGCATAGAGGTGTCACCAGTGATTTAACGGGTGCATCAGCACCTGCTCCCTGGGGACCGACACCGGCAAGGGAGACCCCAGGAGGCTGCCCATGCTGAGGGGCATCACTCAGCGACCCCAAACATAGGCTCCCATCTACAAGGGGTGACTCTCTTCTCCCCCTCCTGCCCCGTGCGCCTAGGCTGGTGGAACCGGGACTGCGCAGAGCGACTGAGGGGACCGGCGTCCCCGCACAGACACCCCCCAGAGAGGGGCTGCCCCAGGCTGGCTCCCCCCAGCCCCGCTCACCTTTTGTGGTCTCGCTCTCCCGGACCAGGAAGGTCCCTCGAGGGTTTTCGGGGTTGAGCAGCAGCCGCTCGGACTCCCGGCGAGTGATCTTCCCAAAATACCACCTGCAAGAGCAAGGCAGCGGCTCAGCGCCTGGCACTCGCCTTCCCCCTCCATTGCCTGTCCCAGCAGCGGGCTCCGCCCTGGCCCCCCTCACTGCAGGTTTCAGAGACCATGGGCTGCATCTCTGGGCTCAGGCACCTCGGGGTGTGCTGTGCCCCCCTACAGCCCAGGCTGGCCATCGCCCAAGGAGCAACCCCGGACCACAAAACACCTTCACTCCCCAAATGAGGGGCTCCAGCGTCCCCCTGAAGCCCGCCGAGGCTCTTGCTGGGGAGGACGCCATGCCACTGGTGGGGGGGCAGGACGGGGGGTGGCACCTCCTGCTCTTGGACTTACAGGCAGCTTTGTCTCTGCCTGCTCGCCCCCTGTGACAGTCACCCCCGCACTCAGCCTGACCCGCACAGGCGGAGCCGGCAGCATCCTCACACACGGATGCGTGTCCACATGGAAGAGTAAAAACCAAAAGCATCAGGTCCACCATGGCCCCAGCTACACCACTGTTCATCCCTCCGCCGCGCAAGCACACCGCACCTCCGCGCTTTATGGGCCTTAAAGAAAGGCTGGAAACTGTTTGAGGGGTTCGCGAATTCAAAAGGGAAAAATAACAAAAAGGAAAAACCCGGAGGCCTCGAGGCTTTGCCCGGGAGAGGGGCAGGGAGGAACGCTCAGGGCGCATTTGCTATCACTCGTCTTTAAACTGTCTAAAAGATGGCAATTACTCTTCAGCCTGGATGGAGTCTGAGGGTGCGACATAGTTACTGGGGATGTAGCCCGTCTGTCCTGTAGTGAGGGAATGAGCCAGCCACCAGTCACCTTCCCTGCAAGAGAACCAAAACACACTCAGTGTGAAGCCAGGAGTGCCTCTGGCCAGCCCCTCTCCCGCCCAACAGGCGCTGGGGGGGGCCAAGCCAGCGCAGAGCCCCACCGGGAAGGGGTGCAGCCCCCGCAGCCCACAGCCCTGCAGCTGGACCCCGGCCAGACTCCTGCTGCCAGCCCCTGCCCATGGCTCCATTTGGGCAAGCTCTCAGTATAGCGGGCACCCACCCGTATAGGGAAAGCTTTAAACTGAAATCAGGCAGGGCAGCCAGCGAGCCAAAATACCTTCGGAGCCACCTGAATGCGAACAGGGTCTGGCTGGAGGTTGAGGGGCATCGGGGAGCCAAGGCAGCAGGGCAGCGGGGAGCGACAGGCGAGGGGGAGGGAGGAGAAATGGGGAAAAGCAGCAGAGTGATGGCAGTGATTTAAAAAAGCACCAGGAAAACCCAAGAGGTAGAGTTTGTTAGACACAGGCTGCAGAAAAGCGACAGGACAAGGCTGAGGTTTGGGCAGGGGGGCGGTGAGACCGGCCCGGCAGTGATGCCCAGCCTGGATGCAGCGGGCTCCATCCAGCCTGGGCACATCACCTGCAGCCCCAGGGACAGGCACCCTGCACAGCCACAGCCCCTGACCACGAGCTTCCCCGCAGCCCCGGGAACGGCCGCGC